TCCAAGAAATCATTACCAAATTCAGTGTTGCGAGGCATATTCTTTGTGCTTTCTCCTAAGAGTATAGCTTTAGCTCTTGCACTTATGTCTGTGATCCTTTTTGTGTTAATTTTTTTTGAGTTGGGGTCTCATTGTGTTGCCAGGTAAGTGCAGTGACATGATCAGGCTTGCCATAACTTCGATCTCCTGGACTCCAACAATCTTTCTGCCTCAGCCTCCTGAGTAGCTGGAACAATAGGTGTGTACCACCATGCCCACTAATTTTTTTATTTTTATTTTTGTAGAGATGAGGTTTAAGCAGTTCTTGCCCCTCGGCCTCCCAAAGTGCTGGGATTACTGGCATGAGCTACTCCACCTGGCCCATTTTAAGTTAATTTTTGAATGTAGTATAACGTAAGGGTCCAACTTCATTATATTGCATGTGGCTATTCAGTTTTCCTAACACATTTGTTGAAAAGACTGGTTCAGGGTTTTTTCGTTTTTTTTTTTTTGACTTGAGTCTCACTCTGCCACTGCACTCCAGTCTGGGTGACAGAGTGAGACTCCAACTCAAAAAAAAAAAAAAAAAAGAAAAGAAAATGTGGTCACCAGTGACTGCAGGTGGAAAAATGGAGATGTTTTTCAATGGTTACAAAATTTCAATTATAATAGTTTTAGAGAACTAATGTCTAACATAGTGATTTATAGTTAATAATGATGTCTCGTATTCTTAGAAAATTTGCTAAAATAGAAGACATTATGTGTTCTCCTTACAAAATATAAAATTGGCAACTATGTAAGGGGACTGAGGTTTTCATTAACATAGTTGTAATCATCATTTCACAATATATAGGCATATCAAATTACTACATTATTTACAACATATAGTTTACATTTCAATGTATAAAAAATCAGATGTTAATCACACATACATAAACACATATACATACGTGTTTGTATATATGCATATATATAAGCTAGTCCTGCGCTTCATACTAAAGAAAAGTATAAAATAACAGTTATTAAGCCACAAGGTAACATATGGGAGTTTAATATATATTTATCTATCCTGTATGCAATACAGTAACTTAAACATTTAGATATATAGAAATATTACCAATCTCAGATCTTACTAAAAAAGTGGAATTAAAGTAAAATAACAGGATTTCTTCTATTAAGAGAGATAGTTTGTGTTCTGACAGAACTATGGAGTATGAATTTAAATAAAATCATTTGAAATCTCTCTAGGATAGAAAATCATAAAGTAGAAAACATGTAACATCTCTCCGGAGAGTTCTTAAAATTTATCAATCAAACAACAAAATCACTACCCTCACAAACTTCCAATCATGATTCAAAAAGAAAACTTAAAAATAAGCCAGGCTCAGTGGCTCAGCCTGTAATCCCGCACCTTTGGGAGGCTGAGGTGAATGGATTGCCTGAGCCCGCGGGTTTGAGACCCGCCTGGGCAGCAAGACCTCATCTCTACAATAAATCAAAAATTCAGCCGGGTGTGGTAGCACACGCCTGTAGTTCTGGCTACTCGGAAGGCTGAGGTGGAAGGATCGCCGGAGCCCAGCAGGTCGAGGCTGCGACGGCCGGGAGTCTGGGTGACAGAGTGAGACTCCAACTCAAAAAAAAAAAACTTAAAAATATTTTTACATGGATTTCCAAATAAATAAGCAGATAGTTGCACATCTTCCAAAGGAGCAGAAAGGTAGTCAGGTCATACAGTCCCTAACAAACCATTAAGTGGACTTTGGTTTCCTCTGTAAACTTGAAAGCTCATTGAAGAAGAATCAGAGTTTCTGGAGAATTTCAGAACGTGGAATAACAGATATTCCTTTGTGACAGCAAGAGAAAGAATCTTAGTCTTCTCAGAAACCATTTCCACTGGAACAGAACACCTTTGCAAACCACATTTCAAGCTCACATTCTTTGACTCGTGTTATCTGCTTCATTCACTTCCACCTACTTGGAGGTTTGGCTAATGTGCTGTGTCTTTTCACAACCCAGGGCTTTTTCTTCTGCTCCAGACACTTGATCAGGTCTGGCTTAGAAACAGCAAGTCCTGTTTAATTAGAAAAAAGTAACATCACTCTTGCTGGAGTTCTTCAATTACAAACCTAGTATTGTGATCAGTAGAGAACACATTATACAAGATTCTAGACAATTAATCCCGAAATACTGTTTCCCAATAAAATCTTTAGAACATTTAGATAGAATTTTAAATTTGTGGGTTCCTTTTTAATTTTGAGTTGGAGTCTCACTCCATCACCCAGGCTGGAGTGCAGTGACAAGCTCACAACCACCCTAGCATTGGCCTGCTGAGCTTAGGTGATTCTTCCCCTTCAGCCTTTCAAGTAGCTGGAACTACAGGAGCATGCGATCACACCCAGCTAGTTTTTTGATTTATTGTGGAGATGGGGTCTTGCCAAGTTGCCCAGATGGTGCTTGAACTCGTGGTCTCAGGCAATCCTCTCACCTCAGCCTCCCAAAGTGCTGGCATTACAGGGTTGAGCCACCACACCTGGCCTTAAGTTTGTGAGTTCTTTGTTCAGTACCAGTGAGTCAAAAACTTATGGCAGCTATTGGAATGAGATGTGGCCAATGATATTCTACACCACTAAATTTCTGAACTTACCAATAATATAGATACAAGGACACTGGTCAATTCAAAATAGAGAATGCTTCATGTCAAAATAAAACATCTTTATTTTTTCTTTTCTATGTTAATAAATCACCAACTTTTCTTTGATAGCAGGAATCTGAAACTCATTCATGCAAAACAGAAATCCCCAGAAAACATTCTACAAAGGAACAACATAAAATCCTTAGTATGAAAGAAGAATTGTGTGTTGAGAGATTTCTCACCGAGAAAAACCAGATTTCTGTGGTTCTCTAACATTACGTTCTTGTACAATATTCGCTGAGGGGCGTCCAGGCATTCCCACTCCTCTGGAGAGAATTCTATGGCCACATCCTTGAATGTCAACAGCCCCTGAAAACAAAAACAGCACATATTTAACAAGTCACCATGGCCTCTATAAAGCAAGAGTGAAGAGAACAGCGTCCAGCTGACATGACATCTATAATTATGCATTAAGATAATTTGTAACACAGAAACATCCTCTAATGCTTTAAGTATAAGAAAAAAGTATGAAATAAAATCCACTCAGCCAGTGTAAACACTCTTTTTTTGTGAATGATACAGCATACATTTGAATACCAACACAGACACGTACATTTTTCAGTGCTATGTTTACATCACACAGAACACATTACATATACTGCTCAGATAGAAAACTCCTAGTGAGTTGGAAGGTCCTCATCAAGTTTTAATGTGTACAACCATGAATTGAATATCTTGTTAAAATGTGAATTCTGATTCAGAAGACATGGATTTAGCCTGAGATTCTGCACTTATTTTTCAGTTGGTGGGTCTCATTCTTACCCATGCTAGGGTGCAAGGGCATAATCACAGTTTATTGCAACCTTGATCTCCTGGGCTGAAAGAATGCATCCTCCATAGTGTCTCAAGTAGCTGGGACAAATTGGGATCAGGTCCCAAGACACACAGGCACAACATAATATACAGGCTGAGATCTTTTGAGCAAAAGATATAATTTTTTTTTTTTTGAGTTGGAGTCTCACATCTGTCACCCAGGCTGCAGTGCAGTGGCATGCCAATGACCACTACAGCCTCAAACTGCTGGGCTTAGGCAACCCTTCCACCTCATCCTTCAAAGTAATTAGAACTGCAGGTGCACACAGCCATTCTTGGCTAGGTTTTGGGACTTACTGTAGAAACGAGGTCTCGCCAAGTTGCCCAAGCTGGCCTCAAAACCCAGGCTCATGCAATTCTGTCACCTTAGCCTCCCAAAGTGCTCAGATTAGAGACTGAGCCACCACACCCAGCCAATATAGTAATTTATAATCTCAATTTAATAACAAAGAAACAAGTGTTAGGCAGAAATCAGCCTACAGGTATCTCCCATGGCAAGTAGTCTCTAAAAATGTATTTATATTATTTGCTTTTAGCATCCTAGAGAGCAAGTTTCTTCTCATTATTCTTTATTCAGACCTTCCTGAGTTATTCTGAGCAGTAACTGCCATCCTGTTTAAATGTACATTTTATTAACCATGTTCTGCATGAAGCTGATGGAGTATCTAGACAGAACCTTAACAGTACATGTTCTGGCTAGGCACAGAGGCTCATGTCTATAATCCCAACACTTTGGGAGGCTGAGGTGAAAGTGTATCCTGAATCCATGGGTGTGAGACCAGCCTGGGCAAATTGGGAACTACAATAAATTACAAAATTGTCTCTACAATAAATAAAAAAATTAACTGGGTTGTGGTAGCCATGAGTGTGCCACTGCACTTTAGCCTTGACTAAAGAGGGTAACTCCAACTTAAAAAAAAAAGTTTCCATCCTTTGCTAGGATCTGAGGATCTACCCAAAACTCCAATGGGATTCTTGGGTACCATGTCTTCCCATGATCCCCAGTCACATGGGAACAACTTTAATACTGTAGGGCACACATTCATGGTGAAAACATTTTTTGGCAACTAAGCAGTATGGATGAAGACAACAGAAGATGCTGTTTAGGGAGCTGTGTCCGGCAGACCTATTGACTATCACAGAAAGAACAAAAATAGTTGTAATAAACTCATTAGGCAGGACCATCACAATGTCAGCAGAATGGTTTGCAAATTTTACAAACATAACATTCCTTCTGACCTGGGACACATTTACCTGAGAAGCACCCATTTTTTCTTTCCCTCTTTCCTTTCTGGGATTTCTTCTCAGGTGAGATTATCTAATCAAGTCAAACCTACATGTTGAAAACATGCCTTTATTTATTTCAAAATTAAATTGAATGTATTTATTTTTTTGTCAGAGTCTTACCTCCCTCGTGGGAGCCCCCTTACTTGCTCTCCTGTTTGCCTGAGGTTCTCTTTGATTTGTGGATTCTTCCATCATCTCCTTGAGGTGGGCTTACCTTGTCCTTTGGGACAGTTTTCCTTTTTTACAAGTGCAAGATAATCCAGAGGACAGGAATAATTTCTGCCTTTTCCCCTCAAGAACAGTAATGTGTCTAAAAGTGCACAGAAACCAGTCATCAATCTAAAATAGATTTCTTGAAAGTTACTAATTAAGAAATATAAATCTGGCTGGGCTCAGTGGCTCAGCCTGTAATCTCGTGCTTTGGGAGGCTGAGGTGAGTGGATTGCCTGAGCCTGCGGGTTCAAGACACGCTTGGGCAATTTGGCGAGACCTCATCTCTACAATAAATAAAAATCAGCCAAGCGTGGTAGCGCGTGCCTGTAATTCCAGCTACTGGGAAGGCTGAGGCGGAAGGATCGCTGGAGCCCAGCGGGTCGAGGTTGCTGTGGCCGGAAGCGACCACTGCACTCCAGTCTGGGCGTTGGAGTGAAACTCCAACTCAAAAACAAAACAAAACAGAGAATATATAAATCTGAGACTTAATCCCAGATGGGACAGTCAACTCTCAAAAGTCTGACATAACTCCATTTTAGATGAAAGGGAGATCTCTGGTCTCTTTGTGTGTTTGCATGTAGCTAAAATAATTTTGAAATGCTACAAGATAAGGTTGGCACCAGTATGGAGTTGTTCAGCCTAACTCTGGGCATGTAGAAATATGTGCACTAACTCTGTTTTGTTAAATAAAGGAACAAGGAGCTCGTGAACCAAGGAAAAAGTGAATCCACCACTTTCCAGGACTCCTCTCATCGCCCAGATGTCTGCAAGCCTAAGTCACCTCTTGATCTCAATCCACGTCTGTCCCACATCCTGGATAAAAATAAAAAATAAAAAACAGCATACATGATCCAGGAGGGGTCTTTAGGAAACCGCCCCCTCATTTCTTTCATTTTAATTTCCCTACTAAATAAAGTCACAACCCATGCTTCAACTCCTTATCTCGACAGAACCTGTTCTGGACCTGGTGACACCAATGACCCTGATGACACAGACTCTGGAGATTTCCACTTAGATAATTCAGATAAGACCACTGTGGGGCCGTCACCCAATAGCACCTGTCCATGCCCGGCTCTCCCTTGCCCCTTCTCAAAGCCTTTCCTCCCAGGCGCTCCGGGATCCCCACCCCACGAGTCCTGGCTCGGGTTTCTGGACTTACGGCCCGCTTTGGGCCCAGGAGGACTCCTTAGCGCTGTGACGGAGCCGCCGTTTAACCTTGGGGAGGAGAGAGAGACCGGACCAGGACCACAGACATCTCCTGCCCTCACCGGCCCCCCCAGGCAGGTCTGATCCTCCCCAAGACCCTCCCTGGTCCCACACACTTGGGACTCAGCAGGCAAAGTCGCGGTGGAGTCAAGACCCCGGGGTCGCTGCCCAGGCTCAGCTACACCGAGGGGACCGGCCGAGTCACCAGGGGGATGGGCCCAGGCTCGGAGCTGACAAGAAGGCCGGTCCCGCCAGAGCCGAGTCATCCGGGTCCGTCCCCCCCTCCCCCTCTCGGGACACTCGCTCACACACTCACTCTCTCCGGCCTTCCAAAGGTTCCGACGTCCTTCCTACGAATCTCCCAGGACCTGCAGGTCACAGGCTTAAGCGAAGATAAACGAGACTGACGGAGAGGAAGACCAAGCAGGGGCGACGACCCCGCTATGTGCGCAGGCGCAGGAGACCAAGGCCCAATCAGAACCCAGAAACCGCCCCCTCGCTTCCGGCTCCTGCCTGATTGGCCAGTTAAGACCCCCCCCCCCCCCGCGTTCGTTGTTTGGATAAAACTCCAGGCCCCGCCTCCCTGAGAAATCAGACGGAAGCCGAAGTGAGGGGCGGCTTTGGGGCTCCCGACCTGGTCTTCGTCTCGCGTGCCTACGGGCAACGCCGGCTCAGCCCCGCCACCCTGTCTTCCTCTCCATCGGCCTCGAATATCTTTGCTTTAGCCTCTGTCGCCCTGTGACCTGCAGGTCGTGGGAGTCCTTAGCGTGGACGCCAGGACATCAGGAAGCGGAGAGATGGTGAGGACGCTGGGGGCTTCGCGAGAGGGGGACGGTATGGACCAGGGTGACCACAGCTCCGAGCCTGCACCCGTCCCCGCTGGGTGCTCAGCCCGGTCCCCTCGGTGTAGGTGTGGCTAGGATGGGACCCCGAGGCCTTGTGCCCGTGGCCACGTCGCCAGCTGAGCCTTCTCCAAACAGACGCTTGCTCTACGTGCTCGGGACCCACGAGGGTTGTGGGAAGGAATCGACCCGCGTGCAGGTGCCCGTGGGGAATTTGGGGGAGGGTCTGGCGTCCCCCCCTCCTCCCCAAGGTTACTCGGAGCCTCCCTCACCACGTTAAGGGAACATTTTTCTCATGATGGCTGTGGAAATCAGTACCTTTCCACCACAAAGTGCGGTAGATCAACCGTTGAATTTCACGGGTGTATGAAAACATCCATTACTCTTTTTTTTTCCTGAGTCCGAGTCGCCCTCGGTCACCCAGGCTAAAGTGCAGGGGAACACTCACGGTCCCCTGCGTCGACATGATGGGCTGTGGAAATCCTTCCACCTCCGCCTTCCAAGTAGTCGGAATGACAGGCTCGCACTACCACATTTGGCTAATTTTTAACTTTATGTAGAGATGCGGCCTCACCAAGTTGCTCGAGCTGGTCTGGAACCCGCAGGCACAGTCAATCCACTCGACTCTGCCTCCCAAAGTGCTGGGATTACAGGTTGAACCACATTGCTTTTTTTTTTTTTCTTTGGAATAGTGAAGAATTCTGTTATTTGGGTAAGAGTTTAATGCCATATTTTATGAGGAAAAACCTTGACAACTGCTAGAAGTATTCACAAGTGATTGTTTGCAAAATGATTTGTTATCGTGAAAGAGATATTTACATATTTATTGTCAGAAAGAAATACATATTTTTGCTGTTTGTAATGTGTCTTATAATTTCCTGCCCTTCATAAACATGAGCACTGAGTTGAAGCTCTTCTGCACTGGGTGTTTTCTCATTTGAATCTAACTGAGCAACTTTAATGAATCCAAGTGAGGGTCAATCCTGATCCTGCAAAAGAAAGTCTTGAGGGCCCAACTCGTTCTTACTGGGGAAGCTTTCAAGCATGTGTGCCCATCTGTTTACAGCAGTTATGGAAGTAGCTCATGATCATGGGAAAAGCTGCTGAGCCTTGGAATGTTGTGGGTCTGCAGGGTGATGTGTCCAGGATTGGGATAGAAATAAAGGATGTGATCCTCTTTCAGAAGGTTTACGTCACTGTCCTGGGGCTGTTTCTGGACATTGTCAAATAAAATAAATTTGAGTTTGGATTAAAATAACTTCAGGTAAGCAAGTATTGCAGTGGCATGGAAACACCCACTATAGATCTTCAGGCATCTTGAAGTTTAGGCACAAATGGGTTTTCCTTCATGGGGAAACATAAAGCTTAGAAAGAGGGTGGAAGGGAGAGGGCAGAATAGAGGGTGACACCAGCAGATCCCAGGTCACAGAATGCCTAACTCTGAAGTCTGCTTGCTCTAAGGAGGGGCATGAAGAGGAGTGTGTGTTGGCTCAAGCTTATGGTGGGTTAGAGTTCAAAGATCTGGTAGAAAGAGAAAAACTTAAGCAAAACTTGCTTCACATAAGATTTGTTCAGACCACAGAAGACAAAATTGTTTATCTAGTTGTTTATGAGGGAGATGATGGGAAATTGTAGTGTCTGTGAGTGGCTTTGAGATAGGGAAAAAGGGAAACATCACTTAAGTCCTCATGAGAAGGGGGATTCTTTGCAGCAAGGTGCTCTTGCAGAATATAAGTGATGGGGCATCTTCGATCACAGCAGTTGATCAGCACCCCCTGCCCCACATCCCCTGCCACTGTCCCTAGCCTTATGCCTCTTTTTACTTAGCTGTTTCTAAGTTGTATCCTTTGTAATAAACTGGGCAACATATGTGAAATGTTTTGGTGAGTTCTGTGAGTATTCCATCAAATTATTGGACTGGAGGAGGAGTTTAGGGAGCCGCTGATTTCTAGGCAGTTGCTCAGAAGCATAGATGGATTTGGGTTTTGTAACCGGCATCATCAGTATGGGCAATGCTGTGCAACTGAGCCCTCAACTTTGGGATTTGTGCTAACTCTGGGTGGTGACAGAATTGAATTGTTGGATAAACAATTGGTGTTGAAGACTGGTATCCAGCAAACTTTACACATTTGAGGTCAGAAAAAAGACATTGCAGGTCAAATATATAAATTCATGTGTGTTATTTCACAACTTTTTAAAACTAACATATATAAACTAATATACTGCAAATTGAAAACTAAAAGTAGATAACTTAGTTCTTGTATTCTATATAATAAAACAGCAAAAGTTATAAAATGATAGTTGAAAGGACAAAAAGTAACAACAATTTTTTAATATATGCTTGGTAATGTTTTAGGTTTACCTACAGCATTAATTTCTTTTTTTTTTGAGTTGGAGTCTCACTCTATCACCCAGGGTGGAGGGCAGTGGCACGCTCCCGGTCACCACAGCCTCAACCTGCTAGGCTCCTGCGATCCTTCCACCTCAGCCTTCCAAGTAGCCAGAACTACTGGTGTCTGCTACCATGCCCAGCTAATTTTTGATTTATTGTAGAGATGAGGTTTCACCAAGTTGCCCAGGTGGGTCTCGAACCCGCGGGCTGAGGCAATCCTGTCGACTCAGCCTCCCAAAGCACTGGGATTACAGGCTGAGCCACCAAGCCTGGCTCAGCATTAATTTCTTTAGGAATACTGTGAGGTGAAGAGATACATCATTCTATTTCATACTAGACACATTTAGGTAAATAAAAGTTAAACTTCTAAGCTTAGTTCATACTAAGAAAATTAAAATTTAATGTAATAATACATTGTTTTAAAAAATTTAATATCATGCTTTGTGCCCTGATAAAATGACTCAGTCCTAGCTCCTTTAGTTTTATGTTTGGAAACCTCCATAAAACTGCATATTATAATGCAGGAAATACATCACATATCTGTAGCTAGTGCTCTAGAGATTGCTGAACTAAACCCCAACAATGCCACTACTTCCTGTATACACTTCCGACATGAGACATAAAAGGAACTTTTAAAATGACTTGAAGGAGAAATCCCTAGAAATATGTCCAGATTTTCCCCAAATCCCCAAAGCAAGGGATTAACAGTCAGATAATACAGTCTCTCACAAGACATGAGAATTTTGGCTCTCACTCTGAATGTGCTGGAAAGAACAAGAAGATGTAGGATTGAAGAGCATAAGAGTAAACATGATGTCTCTCTGTGTCAGCAATATAAACTTAGGCTTCTCAAAATTAGTCTCATTAGAGCAGAGTTTCCCAATCCACATTTTAAAGTCTGACTTCTGCATGGACATTTGAATCTCTCACTTGTGTCACTGGCACAAGTATTCTCATCTACATGTGTGTATGGCTATTGTCTTCTGCCCCTTTTTATTCCAGGGTTCATCTCTAAAATAAATAAAGAATTAGCGGGCAATGGTAGTACATGTTTGGAGTTCCAGCTATTTGGAAGGTAGGTGCTGAAGGATCGCCAGAAACTAGCAAGTCAACATGGGGTTGGCCATGAGTGTGTAACAACACTCCAGCCTAGGCGATGGTGTAAGACTAAAACTCAAAAAAGAAAAAGACCAAAAATATACGATGCATTTATTTCTCGCCATAAGGAAATAAAACAAAATTCAAAGTTGAAGAAAAACATTAAAATTGAAAAATACATGCAAGTTAAACAACACACTCTGAAGAGTCAGGATATTTAGGCTTTGTGCGGTGGTTCATACATGTAATCTCAGCACCTTGGGAGGTTGAGGTAGGTGATTTGCTTGAACCCTGGAGTTCAAGACCATCCTAGACAACATAGCAAGTCCTCGAGCCACAAAAATTAAAAGAAAAATTAACCAGACGTGGTGGCACATGCCTGTCATCCCAGCAAATCATCAGACTGAAGAGGAAGGGTTGTCTGAGCCCAGGAGGTTGAGCTTGTTTTGAGTCAGGATCATTTCACTGTACTCTAACTTGGATGACATGGTGAGACACCAACACAACAGAATTCAGAAGATTAATAATATTTATTATATTTAAAATGTCAACTGTACCCATAATGATATGTACATTTAATGTAATGCCTATGAATACTTCAGTGATAGTTTTCTTGAAAAAGTATTCTATAATCCTAAGTTTACATAGAATCTCAAGGAAATATAAATACCTAAGAAAATGTTAGTAATAAAGGATAAGGTACAGGTATCACACTTCCTGATTTTAAAGCATATGACTAAGTTACAGGAATAAAAACATGTGGTACCGGCACACAAAAAGATGGATAATGGAAAACCTCAATATAAATCCTTACCAACACAATGGAATAATCTTTAGAAAGTTAGCATGGTCACACAATGGGGAAACAAAACTTCTTCAACAAATGGTGTTGAAAAAAATGGGTATCCAAAAAAAAAAAAGTGAACTCTTTAAATATATACAAAAAGCAGCCGGGCTCGGTGGCTCAGCCTGTAATCCCAGCACTTTGGGAGGCCAAGGTGAGTGGATTGCCTGAGCCCGCGGGTTCGAGACCCACCTGGGCAACTTGGTGAGACCTCATCTCTACAATAAATCAAAAAAATTAGCTGGG